CAAAAGCATCTCTGATTTTACAAACCAGGGGATGCAAAACCAAAGCAAAAAGTAGAGGACCAAGGGGATCACCCTGCTGCACTCCTTGACACGACCATAAGGATTGGTCCCCATAATACAATCTGGCTGGATTAGAATAGCATAATTCAACCCATCGCGAAATGCCCGGACAACAACGACGAACTTCACGCAACATGACCGTACGATCAACAAGATTGAAGGCATTTTGAAAATCCACCAACATAGAAAGATCAACATCAGAACCACGGTCCTCAATCAACCGATTCACAGCATGAAGAATTGCCTCACCACCTGAAGAAACCCCAATGCCAAATTGAAGACCATCAAAGTAACTTCCTAAAGACTGGCCAACCATAACAGCACCCACCTTCGAAACCAGATGCTGCCAAATAGTACCCACAGCTATAGGACGAATACCACCACCGGGCTTTACAAGTGGGGTAAGAAGAGCACTAGCAATATACTCTCCTAGTTCCATAGGACACTTTCCAGCTAGAAAGAGATTAACCACCGCGGAAATAGAGTCAACTAACTCATCTGATACAGCCACAGCAGCACCACTCAAGCAATCCAGAAGGTGCTGAGCACGTAAACCGTCCCTACCACAAGATGTGCCACGTGGAAAACTCTTAATCCGTTCCAAAACAGCAGAAGTAGTAACGAGAAGAAGGCCATCAACAGGTATATCAGGCAAGGATGGAGCTGGAGAAGTAGGGTGTTTAGACTGTAAATCCGCGAGAGTGGCGTCATTATAAGGAGCAACGCCTGAAGAAGAAAGAACCCGAACTGCAGCAGTGTAATGGCCGTCACAAATCTTCCTACGACATTGCTTGATATTACGCTCCTCCAAATCAAGGTCCTCATCACCAACCAGGGGCGGAGCTAGAAGGGGATGAGTGGGGACACTTGTCCCCCCATTTTCAAAAAAAAAAATTAAAAAAAAAAATTTTAAAAAAAAAAACAAAAAAACGCAATTACAGAGTGCTCTGTGCGACATTTGCAGCCAAACCCTAAGTCTTTCAATTTTTAATTTCTCTCTCTTCGATTCGCCCTCACCTCGCCAGAGTCGCCTGACGCTGTCCACCGTTCTCCGGCAGTTCGCAGCAGTGAGGCCAATGACGAGGTTCGACAGACGACAGCGCACAGCGGACAACCTTCAATTCCGTTCGACAGTCACCAAAATTAAAAAACCAAAGTCCTGTCTGTCGCTCGGTCGCTGCCTGCCAAACCCCTCATCGTCGTCGGTCGTCCGTCAGTCGCCAGTCGCCGCCTCGGTCATCTTCTGGTCTTCGCTGCATCTAAAGGTATGTCTTAACTCTTAAATATATTAATTTGTTCTTCTAATTGAAAATTTGAAATCCCCAATTTGCAATTTTAATTGTTAACCCAATAACCCTTTCTTTCTCCCCGTACTTTACTTATTTTCTGAGGCTATATATTCTGAAAAGGGTATCGGAATTTGTGTCAAATATTGAAGGGGATTTGTTTTGGTCTTTAAATGGGGTTGGTGCTCCTGATTTGATCTTTATTTATGTGCCTGAAGGGTGCCGAGTTGATGCCCCTTTAAATTTGAGGTCTTTCTCACTGAAAGGGAGTGATGCCGAGTCGAATATGTTGCCGGTTTCGAACCCGAGAGTATTGGTGTTGATAGAAGGGAGGAGAGGTGGGTATAGTTGAGGTGTTTTTAGGTGGAGATGGTAACAAGTGTTATTGGGCTAATTATGTTCTTGAGGTGATCATCGGTGAAGGAGCAACATTTAGCCATTTTTATGTACAAACACAATCTTTGGGAGCTGCCCATATTAAATGGACTTCCATTAGGCAAGTATATTTGGTTCTGCTTTTATTATGTTTTTGTTGATTAAGTGTCATTATGTGCAACACTTTAGATTTTGTGATATCCTTTGCTTATAATCCTGTTAGTGCATTATCATGTGATTGCTTATACTTCTATTCTTGTTGGTGCTTTGGTATATCAGGATTAAATACATTATAATGCAACTGTCTTCGCTTTTATATTATATCCATAATTTGTCCCCCCAATTTGAAAATTCTGGCTCCGCCAGTGTCACCAACCACTGATAAAGTAGGAGAATCCTCTGCCAAAGTATCCCTCACAAGCTGCCAATTACCACCTGGGGCACTCCAAAAACAAATAGCACGGGAAATACTCTCTTCTTGATGCCGACGTCTTACCGAAGACCTAGACTCAGAGCTACTCCGCAAGCGAAAGGTTTTAAGGGTGCAAAGAGGTAACACCAACAAAGAGACCCAACTAGAAATGTCATCAGGCCTAGAGATCACCTTATCAAGGGCACCTTTCAGAACCCGAGAAAACCCCAAACGACACTTGGGAGGTATAGACTTCACGGTACGAAACACCTTGGAGAACAAACAATCAAGAAGAGCCACATCAAAACCAAAATGTTGATCGTGCACCAAACCACCTATGCGCCCAAGTTGAGCCAAAGAAGAGGGAGCTTGCGGCTTGGAGAAACCATGAAGCACAAAACGAACAACACCATCTCCTTCATCCGGGGGTGTCACAACCTCACTCCGACTACGGCGACACTTAGCCCGATGCGTATTCGTTTTGTAGCAAACCCCACATAACCAAATCCCCATACGCGAAAAAGTTACTTCAGCCTCAGTATAAATAGCCAAATTAGAAGTAAGAGAATGTCGTGTGATATCCCGCGCATCAATACAAAAATGACGATCACAAAGATGTTTGATAAGAGAACTTCTACTAAGGCCATTCCCACGTCCATCTTGACAACCACTAAGACCCACAAAGGGGCAATGAAACTTCACCGACATGGCTACACACAGCCACCACCATTAACCACCAAAAACCTGCACCCAAATGCACAAGGAACTGCACCCGAACTAACCAGGGAAATGCAGCCAAAAAAGAACACAAAATAGCACCCAAACAAACCAGAAAATTGCACCACAAAAGCAAGCAAACCAACCCCCAAACTGACCATAAAGATGCACCTAAAAAGCACTCAAAGCAGGTCCCAAACGGACCAGAAAAGCACACCACAAAAACGTACCAGAAATTTCAGCAAACAGACGATGTATTAGCCAGAAAATTCGCCTGTAAAACGCCACCAAAAGGCAGTAACCACAGCCCACCTTGCCGGAGCAAATACTCGCCGGAAGCTCACCCAGAAACCCGTCAAATAAACGCTTAGAAAACCGCCCCAAAGTCGCCCTTAAACTGCCAAAACTCGCACAAAACAGGCCTGAAAACTGCACCAATAATGGCTGAAAACAACCCTTGAAACTACCCAGAACTTGCTGCCTGACTATTATTATTATTATTATTACCGCATTATTATTATTATTATTATTATTATTATTATTATCATCGCATTATTATTATAATCATTAAATATTATTATTAAATATTAATTATTATAATAATAATAATAAGTATTATTAAATATTATTTATTTATTTATTATTATTATTATTAAATATTATTTATTTATTTATTATTATTATTATGATTATTAAATATTAGTTATTATTAAATATTAATTATTTATTATTATTATTAAAAATTAATAATTATTATTTTTAAATATTAGTCAGGAAAAATTGATTCTAATAATCCCACCTTTGGTCGGTTCGCTGTTAATAATCCCACCTTTATATGTCATTCTCTTTTATTGGTCCCTTGTGACCGGTAACCTGTATATTAGGTTTTTTTGTTGTTGTTGTTGTTGTGATTTTAGTGACACATGTCAATAATACATAAATGGTCAAAAAAGAAAAAGAAAAGGATAAAATTAATTTATTTATTTTTTTAAAAAAAACAGCCACCCCCCAAACACTAACGCCACCTCATCCACGCTTCCGGCAACCATTCCTCTCTTCAACCTTCCCCTAAAATTAAACCACCGCGATTCCCACCCCCACCCCAGATCACCCTTTTCCCCTTCCCTGGCGTCGAAAGCAACACCAGTGAGTACAGCAATGGAGGTTGTAACAAACATGACAACTTCACGATTTTCAACGATGACCGCAACAGCAAAAAAGTCTTCAAATTACGTGTTTAATTGCTTGAAATTTCCCTTAAAAATAGCACTCATGAGATCTAAAGGTGAAACCTTGATTGGGTTAGAAGTTGGAACCCATTTGATTGACGAAAAACACTGATCAAATTTGTTTGATATTTTGATGAAAAAAATTCGAAGATTTGATTAAAACCCAAAAATCAAATATGGTGGGAAGAAATAATTATAGAACAAAGTAAAATGGAGTCTCTTGCAAAATAAGTTTAATTTTAGGGGAAGGGGGGCGATAGTCGTGGTGGTTTTAGGTGAAGGGGAGGCCGTTCGTTGGGTGGGTATGGGGAGGGAGGTTCTGCGGTGGTGGTGATGAGGAGGGGATGGGGTAAGCCGGAGAGTGGATGGGAGGTGGGGATGGGGTGGTGTAGGGGTTTGGGTGGCTGGTTTGTTTTTCCTTTTTCATTTTTTTCTTTACTTTGAATATTTATTTAGTTTTTTTAAAAAAATTTACAACTAATCACAAAGTGACACATGACACTGTAACCTATTAAAACCGGTTACCAACAAGTTATGGACTATTAGAAGAAGAACCTCTTTAAAGGTGGGATTATTAAATAATAATCCAAAGGTGGGATTATTAACGGCAAACCGGCCAAAGGTTTTAGAATCAATTTTTCCTAATAGTTATTATTTTTAAAATATTAATTTTTATTATAAAAAATCAATTATTATTATTATTATTAATAATAATAATAATAATAATAATAATAATAATTATTATTATTATTATTATTATTATTATCATCATTATTATTACTATTTTTATTACTATTATTATTATTATTATTAAATATTAATTATTATTATTATAACTGTTAAATATTAATTATCTATTATTATTATTAAATATTAAATATTATTATAATAATTCAATATTAATTATTATTTTTAAGTAGCTCAACTCTAAAGAACAGGGCCTAAAATGACATACAAAAGCATTTGACAACGCTCAAATGAAAGAATACACAAGATTATACAGAAAACTCGTTAATGCGGGATATGAATCTATTCTACTCTCCACCTTCAACGCAGAAGGCAGTATGAGTCTGTTCATAGAAACTGGTGTGGTATTTAAGTTGTGGGAGTGCTTCAAGACATGCTACAATTCAAAACAAGAAATCATCGTCTTCTGGCGGACCCTTCCGAATCTTTTCTTGTAATTCCAATTGCTTTGGCCATACAAGTTCAGTTCCTTCACCTGACTTGGAGAAATATCTCTCCAACACCATCTATTTGAAGTAAAGCAATGGAGTAAGATATGCCATAAATAATAAAAATATAACAGCAACAAAAACAAAACCTTATTCCCAAAAGGGCTAGTATGCAATCAAATCAAAAATAAAGAGGTGCTTTTTGCAAAGATAATACGGAGTAGTTAAATAGTCTCTAATTGGCAACAAAACATTGACCTGGTCGATGAAGGTCAAAGTGAATTATGGAAAAAGAACATCAGGCAATAAAATGTTGTAAACTGTACCATTGCAGCATAGGCATCGATTTTTCCATGACGTGTAGACTTGTTGACACCCCTGAAGGAGTTAAAGGAGTACCAGTCAATACATAGGAAGTGCTAATTTAAGTGGATCATAAACCAAGAGAGCAAACTTATTCAAAATTCAGTCATCAACCTTCATAATTGTTAAAGTGCCCTGTATATCACACACAAGGCATAGTAGCAAAAAACTCACAGGTTGATCATTCGATCCATTGCTTCAACTGATGTGCCATATTCATCCTGCAAATAAACCCTCCAGCCCCTTCATATCACAGAAAGAGCGTCGATAAATCATCAATTCTTAGCCACGAAGAATCAGTACTAATGCACCATCCCAATATGTCAGTTGTAAGTTTTGAGCTAACAGAATAAAAGATTATCAACAGCTAAGCACAGCTCCTAAGTCGAGTCAGAATGTTGTTCAAAGCCAAAATCAGTGAATCTCAGACAAGTTTTAGCAACATAAGACCTCTGCAAGGACTGCAACAACGTATACATCATCAAAAATGAATGTAAAATACTGTAATACAGTATTTAAAGCATATCACTAATTGACACTCCTTGATTGATATGCGCTCAATTTATAAGCTGAAGAGGAAGCTGATGGAGTCATTATCACAACAAATTATTCAGGATACAATACACCCTTCACCAAAGATTACTATCGCAACAAAATTCAATACGGAGTAGATAAATTAAGGTCACCACTTGCCTCCACTCGATCTTTAACACTAACACTAACAGAAAAGAAAAGTGTAATAGAATGTATATTATCAACAAAAAAATCTATCAATAATACGACCACACTATACTTCAATCATAGCCAAACTTATTTCTACATTATAGCAAATGTGACATCCAAAGATATTTTCATAAATTGGTTCAAAAACCATCATTAAATAAGCCAGTTTAAATAATGATACATCGTGGATGTCAATTAGTTTAGTTGATTAATATCTTGCAGTGGTACCCAAGACCTTATCGAATCATGTTCACATCATTTTCCTTTGCAGCTCCTTAATATACAAAAAAAAAAAAAAAAAAAAGAATATGAATAAATGAAATTACCTCTCAGCAGCCCTGACAGCCAACCTTCCAGCGACGCTACGAACTTTGTTGGATTGAGGGGTCTCATTTCCATCACTTGACTTTGGCAACCCAATTATAAATTCATCTACTTCCTACAATTTTATATAATCAAACTTAAACACTAATTGAAAATATATGAAGTTAGTAATAAAACCCACAAAAATTACCTCTTTTTCTGCAATTTCAATAAGTTGAAGCTCAAGCTTCTGCCCTCTCAAATTCAACACCTAAAAATGAAAGGAAAAAAAAGAACCCCCTAATAAACACAAAGTTGAAAGAAAACCCAGAAATTTAAAATAGAAATTTGCAGGGAAAATATGGGGATTTACAGATAAAGGGCGAAAGGAGAAGCCTTTGCTAATGGCAAGGCCAGTATGAGACAATCCCAAATCTACCCCTAAGCTGAAACCTCCTCTCCAAAGTGGGTCTTGTTTTCTACGAAAGGCATTTGGGGGAATTTCATTGCTCAAGGGCACTGACCCTCTTATTGTAGCACCATTGAAATTAAGGGATTTACATGGTATTTGCAGAGAAGAAGTTGAGAACTTAATGATTTTATTTTGAAGATTAAAGAAGGTTGAAGAATAAGGTACATGAAATTGGAGGGAAGTTTGGAGTTTGTAGGGTAATAACGGTTGAAGAGGTACTATTTGAATTGCCATTGAAAATGTATCAGAATTAGGGAATGAGAACATGAAATGCAAAAAGGGGTATGGACTTCAAAGAAATCAAGCATAGATTGTGCAAATTTTAGGGTAATATAGTAATTTTATGTTGTTTAATTTTGGTGAAAAAAATTGTAATTGTTTAGCTCTAATTTCTTATCTTGTCATCATGTTCGTAAAGTCAGGAATGTCGTTGCTCATTAAACTATAATATTATTTCTTTCTAATAAGGTTTAGCATATACTTGTGAAATGCTTTCTCGAGGTATCATAGCCTTGATAGAACTTGATTTAGTTGATTAGTGAAAGGACTGAAAGCTGCTCTCTTGCGGTATCTCCCTACTTAAATTATTTTTTTGTATAAGTCAATTCTAAAAATTCAATCAGTATAAACTTAATTAATCATCTTTAAGGTGATAACTATAAGATACTAGATTCAAGTGTTTAAAATCATATCTCACTAACATTATGCGTAACAATATGATTTAAAAGGAGTAAAGTAATTCTTTTATTTACCCCTCAATTTGGATTCACTTGTATATACAATGAAACAGACAGAATTATTAATTTTGGATGCAGGGAGAATTCGGTTCGTATGTTTATTGAGGCTTAACTAAGAACTTGTCAAATGTCACGTATTTTGAAATGAGAAAAAAAATAAATAAATAGTTGAGCCCAATATCAATATTCAACAAATGTCATGTATCATGATGTTAATAATGCAAGACGTAGTTCAAGTTCAAGTTCATCGCGTGCAGCTGGTCACTACCTTCCTTGATTAGATTGGAAATTATTCTGTTTTTGTATACTTGACGAGCATTTTTCATAAACCAAGCAAAGCATCAGACTTGCAAAAGAAAAGCTAGCATAAATAAGCTGGAAGCACCTGATCTTAAATTCTTAAAACAAGAAAGCCATCTAACATAATTGCATAATTTTTTGCAAAAGAATTTGGCAATGGGAAAACATCCAGCCCGTATTAGGTTCAACACTTAAAAGTACATCCAGCTATTATTTGGTGCACCTGAAAACATGAACTCTTGGGTAATGCGGCAAGCTGGCAACAGCAACAACCTAAGGGTGTGCATTATCAGTCTATCCCCAGATATTCCCCACATCACCAAGAAGCACACGCTCTTAGATGGAGCACCAAACAAAAGGCCAAAATATACAACTGTCTGGGAAAATGGACTTCCATCTGAACTGGACAGTTTATGATGTCATGAAACAAAAGCTTCCTCTTTCGCCCAGACAGAAAGAACGTTCTCAGCTCTGACCTTCATTTTCAGGTGGGGCATCAGCAGGTTTGACGGCTTGGGATTCGACATTACTAGACACATTTTGCTGCTCAGTTAAATTTCCTACAGCAACATTATGGCTCTCAGCTCCAGCAGAAATATGCGCTCCTTGACTCAAGGAATTCTGCTGGGTATCTATCCCAAATCCAGCTGCTGGGACAGGTACTTGTGGGGATTGAGCAAGCAAATATGGAACCAACTGAGTGATAAGAGTCTGAGCATCGTGAATACCATGTTGATGGAGAAGCTGTGTCAAAGCTGCATGAGCAGCTTGAGGATCTGTCAAATTTTGTTGGCTCAGCATCATCGTTGCAAGGGCTTGAGCGTCGTGAGGACCCTGTTGATTGGCTTGGGGAATGATCACAGTCGATGGAAGATTAGCAATAGTAGGGTATAACGCCTCAATACCATCTCCAAGTGCCTCTTTATGACCTTGGAAACGCTTCACGTTTGCAAGGTGTTTTTTACCTGCTACATGGCTTTCAAAAACAACCTGAGACTCACATTTCACATTGCACAAGTTGCATATTAAAGGAACTGCCTGTTTAGGCTTCGGAGGCTCAACTACCCTTCTTGAGCCATCAAAGGTTCTCATCCACTTACCACCACGGCCCCCTCTCATCCTTCTCTTTAAACCACCCCGACCGCCAAATTGACCATGCCTAACTGACTCCTGAGATGGTAGTGCCCCTGAACTTCCAGGTTTCTCAGCTGTATCCTTTTCTGCGGTAGCTTCAACTTTATTATCTGGAGCTGCAGGAATAATAGCTACATTCACATTTGGGGGAGGATTGCAGTTGGATCCTACAGCCTTTTGTGGCGGAATAATTTCAGGTGTAGGCTGAGACACAGATAATTTAGGATCCTGCATTGTTAGATGTCTGCTTAGATTCTGCAACTCCTCATGCACCTTTAAATTTCGCTTATGTCGCTTTCCATTCTTATGCTGCTCAAGGACTTCAAGAGTAGTACAATCAGTTCTGCAAATTTCACACCATGCCATACGAAGTGGTGGCTTGGTTGGACCAGCTTGTCCCTCGGTCACGGATTGAGCACCACTAGAGGCTGCTATTGCAGATGACCTTGAAATCTGAGCACCATGCTTGCCACGACCACCACCTCTCCCTCTACCATGACGACCAAAAGTGCCACGCCCTCTCAAAGACCGAACAGCTTGACTGCCTCCAGCCTGGTATACAAAATTATGAGGTTGCACAATAGTATTTTAATGGCGGTTACATCACTAAGCAAAATGAGATGTGAAAAGATAATCTATAAACCAATTAACCATCATTATGTAAAAACTGAAGTGAAATATCTTGAGTTAGAAACTTTCATGTAACTCATCCATTTAGAATATAATTATTGTATTACAATACATAAGTACATTTTCCATGATTTCAAGCAGCAAAAACAGAGTCTGAATGTAAAATGCGTGATTAAAATATATCTACATGCAACAGCAAATATCCTGTGCATGGCAGCTCCATTGTTATAACAGGAGGCAGAACAGTAACAAAAATCAAATATGTAGAACCAAGAAGCTATATCTAAGTACGACATTGACATACCTATAAAACTAATAACTTGAAGTAATCATCTATTATGACACACCATCAATAGAGATTGTCAATGTGTTTCAAAAGTAGTATTGCCTATTTGCCTCTACATTTCAAGTTCAACAGAAACAGTACAATGGAGGCTTATGAACTATCCTGAAAAGTAAGTACTATCAACAATATTGAAAGAAGAAAACAGCTACGGTTCGAATATTCCACAAACTTGAACTCATACAAGAAGAATTTCATTACCTCAAAATCATCAACAATTTCTTGAGAACTAAATTCAGTTTTCAACTTAATGTACGAGTGAGAAAGATTATACAACCGGCACCAGGGACAAATCTACTTCAGTTTTGAGCAACCAATCAATCTCCCATTGACTCCCAGCAAGGCCTATCGACTGATGGCTATCTGTAATCTGGATTCTGGACTTGGGACTGTTTAAGCCAGTTGGGGTCAGCTCCAGGTCAAACAAAAGAAGTAAATTCAATAGAAATTTGTTTAGCTTCAGGCCAGGTTCCAGCTGCAAATTAACTGCAAAGTCAAGAATTTGCACCTAGAGCCTAACCCAGTATGGAAGAATGTTTTGAGACCTGTCTGGACAAAAGGCAGACCAAAAACCAGGACTCTGCCGTTGAACAACGCCTATCATCCAGGTTGGCCATCAAATATGAATACTCCTACACTAACCAGGGATGGTTAGATGTAGAGGCACTCATGTGAAGTATACATTAAGCATAAATGCCCAGCCTTTGGGAGTTAACCAAGTGGAGTTGCTTTCTCAAGGAAATGTTCAGTAACAAACTAAACTCCAAATAGTTATACTCCCAAACGACAAATCAAGCACTTTGCTCAGTCTATAGCCTCATACAACCATATTAATGTAAACATAGCATAATCCTCCTCTATACACAAAATAGAGTACATCCTTAACTTCAAAATTGCTTAATACCTTTATAAGTGTATGACTTAATACTGAAGCAGGTATCAACAGTATGGTATCCAGAACGGGCCAAACCTTCATAATCTATACAACTAAACCTTCAAAGACGGCAACTGCATGGAGAATGGAAAGACCAAGTCTTTTGCATGACCTCAAATCTCTCCACAACTGTCAACTAAAATCAAACAGCTTTAGCAAACCACTTCACTAGTAATTCCTTGAAGACTCAACTTAATAGTCCCAGCATCCCTCACGCTCACCTATGATGACATGCAAAGAGCAAAGCAGAAAGATATTCCTCCGCATAAACCTATTCATAGAATATTAACTTTGTTTTTTAAAGAAAATAGAGGAGAGTTGCTACAAAAGAGAGTCTATTCTGCCCTTCGCTATACAACAAAACCTAAACCTATATCTTTGGGTCCATACAGCGAAGCAGTAGACAAGTAGAAGATGAGTCTTGAATTTGATGATGATTGCTACAAACGAAGAGGAGATACACATAACTTTCAGAAGACTGAAACAAGAAAAAAAACACTAATGAACCAACAATAACCCTATAGTCACCAAGGAATATCTGGTCAGGTATTCATGTCGTGTCATCTTTATCAAATGTCACATAGACACCTAAACTGCATCAAGCAGTCCAGTGATCCTTTAGAATTTGGTGAGCCCAGCGATATTGAAAGAAACTTTTCAGTCCAGTGATCCACTTGAAAGTAATTTAAAGAAAAAAAAAATTGTCCATTTGAAAGATAATAGAATGGTAAGATAAAAATTGTTGTCAGTGAGCCCAACTTCACTAATTTATCAATGTCAAAACATCTCCAATCCTGCATTAGCCTGTGACTAAGAGTTCTGCAAGGAAAATCTGGATAACTCCATCCCATGTTTATCATGCTTGCAATGATTCAGGATTGCAATGGCCACCAAAGGAGAATATAGACCCTTTTTGGTAGAGGGGAATTGAGTAGAAAAGAACAGAAGGAAAGGGCTGATATCATATTCTCATGTTTGGTTTGAAAAATGATATGCAAATTGATAGGAAAGGAGGCAAGTTATAGTAAAGCCCCTTTATAAAATTCACTTTCCTTTCCTCCCAAAATTGAAGGAATTTGAGAGGAAAGAGAAAATTAAAAACTGTCAATCAAAATTCTTTTTTCTTCCCTTCACTTTTTTCATTAAACCAAACGTTAGAAACTTAAATTTCTATCCTTTCCTTTCCCTTCCATTCTTTTTCCTATCCTTCCTTTCTCTTCCTCTCCCTCACTAATACTATACCAAACGAAGTGATAAGGAGCAAGTTCTTGGAGAACGAAATCATGCAGAGTAGGTTCCTGACATTAGCTTGATAAGGCGAAAAACTTGTGGCGACAAGTACAAGTCATTAGAAACTCCCCCCACCCCCTCCCAAAAATAATGGAAAAAAAGATAAGAAATGGATGAACATAGATCAAAAATACCCACGATTATAGCCCTTAAATATAACTTTCAATTTGAATGAGATAAACGTCCAATTATGGCCAACTGCCCAAAATATGCACTGCACAGCTATCATAGGTGGCATATAATAAACTGCATCCACTTATGTATAGGTATAACAGGTACTATTATCTGACTCACATATCAGATTTAAAAACATAACCTTGATCTGCACAGATTTATCCACCAAAGGGAGCACCAGAATCTACAAGGTAAAATGCAATATTCCTAAACTATCAATAGTCATATACTCATAGAAGGTAGAAAATCCGAAGAAATACATATATCCGGCGAGATTGGGATGTGCTGAAAAGACACGCAGATCACAGATGGGGGAATCCCTGATTTTTTTTTTCTTCCAGATTTTTCTTTGAATCTTTGATACATAAAGTTAAAAGTTTCAACCATATACATTCCACTTTAAGCCAAACGATTTTATACTGCTTCCAAGTATTTTGTCTCTTGAGAAAGAAATCGATAATTCATCTCAACAACCTATAATATCAAAGTCAAGAGTCTCAAGGAAGCATTATTTATTTACTCTGATATAGCAACAAGGCACACAATATGGAGGTACTCAGCAATCCCTTTGTCAAAAAACAATAGTCAATTATAGTACAATATTAGGATGTTCTCAAAAAGTAGACACATTTCCTAACTTTACCAATTAAAAAAAAAAAAAAATCATAGTTCTAATATTGTCCCCAACTGTCTATTTGACACAACTTCATGCCTCATAGAACAAGCAGCCTAGCAAATATTTTCCCATCTCTAGCTTAATGACTTTGCATATTTCCCGGCTCCAATGCTGTACTGGATAACAACTGTACCGAACCTACTACGATTACAAAAAACTTCGACGTAATCAAACATGGAAGAAAAGCTTCTTAGTTCTAATCCTTCATTACTGTGTTTGACACTAACAAGCTCAGCCCTTATAGATGCCATTGTTTCAAGTTTCGACTGCTGGCTAGAAATTACAATTCTGCCTTAACCACATTATACTTATACCTATACTATATTTAACATTAATTTCATGGCATTGTCCTAACACAAGTATCAATTACCCTGTCTTTAAATTCTAGAAATCAAAGAGATTAATTCTATATATATTAACAACACGACAATAATTAAATTCAAGCCAACAAATCACAACAAAAATGAAATGAAATACCATGAAAATACAAAATTCAAAACCAAAAATTCGACAATATCATAAAAATAAAATCATACCATCAAATACCCTTGAGAAGGAGGAGGATGAGAGGCAACAACCCCATGTGGGTAATACAAATTCTGGGGATTCTGAACATGGGTTTGTTGAGAATCAACAGAAACTGGAACCCCAGGTGGGTGAATTAAATTGGGATCAGTTTGATAAGAAGCTGAATAATCTGGGTAATAATAAGATGAATAATCTTGTTGTTGTTGTTGGGGTTGATTGTAAGGGTTAGTTGGATATTGTTGTTGATAAGCAGCATAGTAAGATTGAGTAGAGTGATCATATGATTGAATCTGGGAAGAAGGATCATAGGATTGAGTTGTTAAAGTTTCAGTTGTTTGAGGTTGATATTGATAATGATATTGCTGTTGTTGTTGCTGGGCTTCCATTTTAATCAGTGAATGAATTTGCGAATTTTCGATTCTTCAAATGTTTATGATTTTTAGGGTTTGTAATTGGTGGGAAATTTTTCCCCAATTTGTGTTGCGCAGAAGAGGACGAAGAGAATGGGGAAGAAGTGAAGAACAAATACTCCGTAAAATTTAATTGGCTGCAAATTACTCCCTCTAAGGCTCTAATAATTGCTTTGACACCTTTGTGACTTGGTCGCATTTTCCAGTGACATTTAATTAGATGAAAGTCTTAAGTTGGAATATTCAAGGGGGTAAAAAGCCCGAGACTCTTGCCGAATTGATTCATTTAAAGAATAAACATAATTCGGATATCATTTTCGTTTTGGAAACTAAAACTAATCATAATAATAGCAAAAATATTTTAAAGGCCCTTCATTTTGAGAATAAACATATTATTGATCCTATTAATCATTCTGGTGGTTTGTGGTGGTCTGTTGGAACAATACTAATATAACTATGAAAAGTATTGACCTTAAGGAGAGATGTACTCATTTGTTAGTAAATTTTAAGCCTTTAAATAAAGATATGATTATCACAGGGGTATAATGTCCTGCACAAGAAGCTGAAAAACTTTTGTTTTGGAATTATTTAACCTCTTATGGTATTAACACAAGTCTTCCTTGGCTTGTCCTTGGTGATTTTAATGAGATATTATTTCACTCGGATAAGCTGGGAGGTAGAGCACTTTCTAGTCAACAACTCCAACGTCTACCGGCTTTACTTACTAGCACTAATTCCATTGAGGTACCTTGCACTCAAAATGTTTTTTCATGGAAGCAATGCCAAAATAACAAAGTAATATATGAAAGGTTGGATAGAGCCATCTCCAACCATCCTTTTAATCTCGTTTTTCCTAATAGTTTATCGTCATATGGTACCTTCACGGTATCGGATCATGCCCCTCTTCTTTATGACTCACGTTTCAACCCCGCTACTTTTATGCCAAGACCATTTCGTTTTCAAAACTACTGGGCTCTAGATGCAGAATCGCACGCAATAACTAAAAAAATGTGGCCTCACCAATTCAAGGGTCAAGTTTCTATCGCATTTAGCAAAAACTTTCTCAAATTAAGACTGAACTTAAATCGTGGGCAAAGAATCGATATGGCAATAACAAGAATAAATTATTAGTTAGCGAAGAAAAAATCAAACAGCTTGAACAGGCACTTCGGCTCCAACTTTTCTACCCGACCTAGTTAGTCATATCAACAGACTGATTAGTCAACGGGAAAAACTTCTCTTATTTGGCCAGCGGTATTGGGGAGCCTTAAGTCGGAAAAAATGGCTAGTTCAAGGAGATAGAAATACTCGTTTTTCCATAATTGCATGCGGAAAAGAATAGCCTCCACGATCATTCATAGGCTTCGAAATGAGGATAATGATTGGATTGATGATTTAAATGACATTAAAAAAACTCCTTCGTGATTCCTTTCGCCTTCATTTCAACTCGACTCACTCTGCGCCAAGACACCTTGATCTTTCTTTCATTGAACACATAACCTCAAAAGAGGATTGTAGTTCTCTCCTCTCTCCCGTCACCCAATTAGAAATAAAAAAACGCTTTCTTTGATATGAACCCCAACAAAGCCCTGGGCTCAGATGGTTTTGGGGCAAAGTTCTTCCAGTCCTACTGGAACATCATAGAAAAAGACGTTACCCTTGCAATCCAAAGTTTCTTTTCCCATGGCCGTTTACTGATAACTTGCTATTTGTTATGATTTTAGGGTGTTTTTGAACCTAGTTTGCTTGATAAATTTGTGTTTTAGTTCACTTTTACTCTATTATTATGCAATTTTTGTGTATCCTATGCTTCACGGGTTGTTAGTGTTTTTGTTAAGATTCTAGGTCCAAAGACGACCAAATGAAGCCCATGGATACTAAGCCGAGGTTAAAAGCAAGAAGATGGTAGAAAGAAGCCAAGGAAAGGAGCAATATCGAAGAAAAGATGAAGAAAAGGGCTTAGAAGAGCCTGCACGGCCGTGCCAATCCTTGCACGTCCGTGCAGGAGTGCTCCAGCAACATAAGAGCTTCTGCCTTGCCCTGCACATCCGTGCAAATTTAGGCACATCCGTGCAAGATACCCAGCACGTCCGTGTAGATGTCTGCACGACCGTGCAGGAGTGCTCAGCAAGTAAGAACCTTCTGTCAAGGCCTGCACAGCCGTGCTTAAGTTGGCACGTCCGTGCAGAAGAGGCTGCACGTTCGTGTCATAATTGGCACGCCCGTGCATGATTTCCAGTCCAAACAGTAGCTTCTACCCTGCCCTGCACGGCCGTGCATAGGGCGGCACGTCCGTGCTTCTTAGTCTGCACGTCCGTGCCGACCTGCAGTTGAGCCCGATTCTTGTTTTCTCCGTCCTTTTTATTTGGGGGTCTTATAAATACCCCCTTTGAGCTCACTTGTATGGATCATCAATGTTTTTATAGCTTTCTCTTAGTTTTGCAATCCTAGAATATTAAATTCTCAAATCATTAGTTAGATTCTAATTATTAGCTTGGAAATATTCAAATTCAATCATTGTAGAAGACAAATTCCACCATTGTTGCTCACTTTGAAGCTTCATAGTAACTATTTCTTACTCTTCTCTTCCATTTCTCTCTACTTTGTTGTTAATTACTTGCTTAATGCTTGGATGCTTAGATTGTTAATTAGCTAAATCCTTAGTTGAACTTGTTCATGAATTGCTTGAAATCTTTAATTGCTTTAATCTCCATGGATTGTGAGTAGTCTAATTTCTAGGGTTTGGGTAAAACCCTCAATGTAGTTACTAATTTCTTGTTGCATGTAATAATTGGGTAATAATTGGGTGTTAATTAGTTGAGCTTAAGTGGTTTAATTGCTTAGTTCTTGAATATGGCCATTGCTAGAATTATTTATCCAAGATTTCTCAACGAAGGATCGAGAGATGAACTTGAGTTAGCTCCCTTATGCTTAATTGACTTGAAATGCCATGAGAATGGGAATTTCCGGTTAAGGGAAATGTTTATGTCATCGTGATTATGCTTTAACAAATGCTTTATGCTTTGTAACTACGAAAGTAGGTTGTATTCATGATTCAAGTAATCCCTCTTGCTTGAGAGAATAGTTGGGTGCCTTAATTGACTTCCCCTAATTTATCCCTTTAATTTACCTTGATTGTTGCATGCTAATCGTGATTTGTGATGAAGTTGAGTGGTATAACTCGAGCCCTGGATTCCTATAAATATTGTTAATCTCCTCTTAGCTTTAGTTGAATTGAACTAGTAGAAGTTATTCAAGACCAAACCAATTTCGACTTCATTTAGCTTATTTAAACGGTAGTACTCGGTGGTTGATTCAACGCCTCTCTTGGGTTTGACCCTTTCTTACCCTTGCTATTAGTTAGTGAGACCAAGATAGGAATTTATATTTTGGTAGGCTCGACGACGGCCTATCATTTACTCCCATCTTTGAACCACACTATTATTTCTCTGATTCCAAAAATCGAGCAACCTGAGTCGCCTAACCATTTTCGCCCCATTAGCTTGGTAAACACAATTTATAAAGCCATTTCTAAAATGTTGGTCACCCGCTTATGTCCAATTCTCAAAAAATCAATTAGCCTGCTGCAAAATGCTTTCACACCATATCGTTCTATTCATGATAACATACTTATCGTTCAGGAAGTACTGAACACTTTTCAAAATCAAAGAATAAAACGGGGTGGTGTGCACTAAAATTAGATATGGAAAAAGCCTACGATAGGATTGAGTGGGACTTTTTTTGGGAGTGCCTTAAAGCTTTTGGATTTCCCGAACAATGGATTAATTGGATTAAAGAATGTGTTACTATTGTGTCGTATTCTCTAAAAATAAATGGGGAAACGACGGAATGGTTTAAGCCTTCTCGAGGTTTGCGGCAAGGAGACCTCTTATCTCCTTATATATTTATCCTATGTATGGAGGTAATGATCAGGAAACTCTCTTTAGAAAGCTCAAATCGCAAATCAGGTATTGGTTTTAAAATTTGTCCAAGATCGTTCAATATTCCTTACTTGCTATTCGCTGATGATAGCCTTGTCTTTTGCAAGGCCACCTCTTTGACTTGTCGTAACCTAAAATCAGTGTTGGATGAGTTTTATGGGATATCTGGTCAGCTAGTAAATTTTCATAAATCATCTATTATCTTCTCTAAGAACATTGCTAATAATCGAAAAGCGAGTTTAGCTGCCAACTTTAACATGACGCCAAAGGCTTCCCTAAGTAGATACTTAGGGGTGCATTTTAGTTCCTATTATCCTACTAAACGTGATTATAGGAATATTATAGAAAAAACAGAGCAACATATCCAATACTGGGAAGCAGGCTACCTCTCCAAAGCAGGTAGAAATACACTTATACAAAGCAACCTAAAGGCTCTACCCTCTTATCTATGCTCCTCCTCCCTCCTTCCTGTAGATGTTGCAAAGAACATAGACTCCATTCATCGAAATTTCTTTTGGAGGCAAAACAAGGACAAGAATAGCATTCCCCTTATCTCTTGGGATAAGGTGTGCAGACCAAAGGATTTTGGGGGTTTAGGCTTACGGCGTACTCTACCTCTTAACAAGGCTTTCATAGCAAAGTTGGGTTGGAAAATAACTTCGGACTAGAGGTGATCATTGGGCGGGCTGGGCAAGTTCGGGGCGGGATGGAGCTAAAAAATCATGTTCGTTTTTCGGGCCGGATTTTTTGTGCCCAAACCCGCCTAAAATGGTCGGGCCGTGCGGGCTTTTCGGGCCGGGCCTAAAAATCAACTAAAAATGCATAAAATCGCATTGCCAAACCCGTCCTTAAAAAAAATCGGCCCGGCCCGGTTTCGGGCCAAAAAATTCTGCCCAAAATCGGCCCGGGCCATACTTGATCAGCTCTACGTCGGACCCGACCAACCTATGGGTTCAGATCGTTAGAGATAAATACCTTCATAATGCTTCCTTTTTTGAATACACGCCAAGTGCCAAAGACTCCCTTATTTGGAGAAAGATCTTAGCCCGGCGAGATATTTTGAGAAAGGGCATTTGTTGGAAAATTGGGGATGGACATGATATCTTTTTTTGGATTGACAATTGGGTCACACACCAAAGCCTACTTGAGCTCCTACATATGGACCCCAACCTTGTAGACTTGGACACCAAGGTGTCTGATTTTATCTCCGATAATAATCAATGGGATCGTCAGAAACTTA